GTTAGCAGAGACTGATCCCTCCTCCGTTCCCCTTGAAAACCATGTTACCCACCCACCCCCCTTCGCCCTTCCTTTCACCCTTCATACCCTTGCAATTTGACTGATCACTCAAAACAACCCTTGCAATATCTGATTCGTTGTTTAAATTTATCGCACCTTTGTCCTCTCCTGGGATAAAGATGCGATTTGAGGCAACAACAGTGCGATTGGTGAGAAGATTCTATTGCAGAGAGCCAACTAGATTACAAGAATCACTAGTGATTTCAAAATGGATCCAGCGCTGGATAGAAATACTAATTTACAGACCTCTTCTTTTCTTTGCTAAAGCTAGCCAGGTGACTGCCATGACTTAATGGTCATGGAAATTCCATCAATTTATTTTTAAAACATAGTTTTCTGACGGAGAAAAGTGTTCAACATTTACTTTTTTTTTATTTTTAGTACCCAGTAAAAGTGGTAGGGTTTATATATTCCACCTGGATAATTTATTACAAAGAAATAACAAAAAAAAGACATATTAAGTGCAGATAATTTTTTTTCCAGCAAAATTAAGGTATTTGATTATGGCATGGTTTAATGCTACTCCGGTTTAAAGATTTATTGAATAAAACCATCCACTCAATCAGTATACCAGAGTAGCATCAAATCATGCCTGATTGTGCACCTGGTTGTCTTGTGAACTTTAATACATTTGATTATGGTTTCACATTCTTCAACATTCTTGGAAAAGTTTGGACCGTTTTCAGCTCGAATCTTCTCTTAAATGTCCTATATGTTTCCAGGTTCTCAAAAGGAAGGAGGATTCCACGGAAAAGGAAAGCTTTGTCAGGTCAATGTTGAGTATGTCAGGTTTAAACGGTTTTCTCAAGTGTGGTATTTTCTCAAGTGTGGGATGTTGGGAGAACACTCGATTAGTTTAACCCTTTAACTCCCATGAATGACCAAGACAGAATTTCTCCTCACAATATCCTTACAATATCAAGTACACAAGTGATAAGAATAAAGAAAAATAATTTAGGGGATCATTGGTAGATCCAGTAACAAATTCTCCGAGCTTACATCATCCCATCCCAACAGTAGGGAGAATTTCTGATGAGATCTTGGGAGCAAACAAACTTATTTAGTGTTCTCCCAACATCCCGCGTGGGATATTACGTCGGTAAAGCGATATTAAGTGCGTTCTGTTGCTTAAGCAATCGTCAGTGCAAACAGTATTTTATGAGTCGGCCCGCTAACAGCGAGCATTCTCCGTTACATGATGAGTCGTATATTACATCTCTTGCTTTTGTACAATTTCAGATATGTTATTTGCCGGCCGGGTAGTATGAAATATTATCATTATATGGATAAAGACCAGAATCTCCTTGTTTGATTTTCCGAGCAACGCGCTCAAAACTTAGGCTTCGGTGAGTAAGACGAAAAGTTGACAATGTCCTTTATAATTCCACTTATTGAGTTCTCATGGACCGAGACGGGGCGAGTTCCACACAAAAAAAATAAAATAAAATAAAAAATGAGCGAGGCTAATATCAAGCCATCTTGACCTCACGCCTGGTCAATACCGCATATATAAGAAAGGACTCGACTACATCTCGTGTTTCTCCCTACACTTCTTTCGTGTACCTCAAAACTAAACAGTTGTCCTCCAGCCTTCATAACTTAGTAAATATTACCAATGAGCGAGCGTTAGAGGTGAGGTTTTCTCATAATTGGTCTGAAGCACTCGACGAATGAAATTTTAATAAAACGGAATGCCGATAAACTTTGAAATTAGAGAAGAGCTTGATGCGGACTGAGTTTGAATCATATTTGCCGCGGTAGTAAAGCCTGAAAACCTTCAAAACTCAGACTCTCCATTTCGTTTTCTCTTTGAAGATTTTCGTTTCTGCTCACGTCATAATAACGTAAATTACCGCTCTTAGCATTTTTACAAACTTTTGTTTCGTTCTTCTGATGCTATTTTCCGGCTCGCTTGTTCGGAAATTTCACTCTCAATGAACGAAATAACGCAAGAGAGAAGTTCAGGAAATGGTTGGAATAGTATAATTTGGCAGACAGCTTTAGTTCAGCTCTATGTTTTATACTCTGATAGAGCATGCTCTTTCAACTAATGACGACGCGCGTTACATCCGAGCTGTATTATGATTCGACTGATTTTTGCTGGTTCAGGTAAGAGTATAACATCCCAGTTCTATTAATCTAGGTTTGGAAGAACACTTCATTGAAAAAATGCGCACTTAAAAACCGACGGAACACAAAGATTTTCCGGCAATCTGTTCCATGCATTCAAAATTTCAATTAAGCCATCAGACTTAACGACACTTAAACGTTTTGCTTGGGTCCAACTGTACAATTAATTTTATTGGACAGATGAGAGACAAAAAAACTGGTCTGGCCAATAATTTTCCTTTTAAGAATGATTGCCTTCATCTGAAAGTAATTTTTTGATCTTTCATTTACTGTCTCGTTTTATCCAGGCTCATTCCATTTGAGTCAGTGAATAGCGACAAGACCAAAAACTCTTACGTTAAGATGTAAGCGACAGCTCCCACCGATTTTGATTTTCTTATTTGCCTGTTGTAAAAGAAATCTAAAGTTTCTCTTGTTTCTTTCCATTTAGCTAATATCCTGGAAGATTCTGAGGACAGACAAAAAGGTAAATCCATTTTATTGTATGACCTAGCGCTAGCACTCGGAATAAAACTGCAAGCAACAAAGCTGTGTTCAAAGGTGACTATAGACGTTTGAAACTACCTTTTCTTCAGATATCATTTTGATACATTTTGCACGAACATCATCTCCTCAAAAGAATGATCGGAAGACATTTTCTCCCTGGCCTCTTAAATTTAGTTTAGTAATCTATGGCTTATATATGATAAACTTCACCGACTTAAACTGCTTCTTTAGAATAGTGGCTCTTGGATTATCAAAATTTTTGAATGGTTAAGAAAGTAAGGCCGCTCTGATCGTCCTTAAAGACCCTCTTCATAGTTATCGCCCTTGAATTTCTCGATGGAAGCTTAAAAGTTAAGAAAAGCGTTTTACATGACAGGATAAGTAAGAACTCCATTTTTTTCTTGAATTTCTCAAGATCACAAAATCATCTATTACTGGGAGGGATTTCATGAACAAGCTGTGGCACGCTTAAGTAAAATGCTGATCCAAATGTGAAACTTCTTCGGCTTGAAATGACATTGTAGATGTAACAATACAGTTGAAACCTCTACGCGCCAAAGGAAGTTACAAAATAATTTAAAAAATACAGGTGAAACATGCAAAAAATATTAATATCTTTCCTTATATTTGAATTATCTTCTCTCTGAAGGAAGCTGTCTTGACGTTTATGGGTACCTTCGACTTTGTATCATGCGAATAGCACTTCATTGCTTCATTTCTTTAACAGCCGGCATGAGCTATCGTTTTCTGTTTTTACCTCTAATTTTATTTGTGGACTACCGGTCTATTAATTTAGCTAGTAAACATTTCCTAAATCTACCGAGCAATTGATTGTTTGTTTATTTTCAAAAAGGTTATGGACAAAAAATGGTGGTGAAAACAGCAACTTCCTGGATTTCTTTGTTTGCGGTTTCCTCTTTGGTTTTCTGTCTCGCTGCGGGCGACAAATCCGCGCAAGCATCAAGCTCCAAAGTGGCAAGTTTATTTGTTTCATTTCTCTGATAAAGTTCTCGGATTAAGTCAGGATTTTTTCCTTTACGAAAGAGGGAAAACCAATAACTAATTTTTTAAGGATAAAAGAAAATGTGAAACTTTAGATCCATGTCTGTAAAATGTCCATGAAACCTTTGTGAACTCGTTGAGTCGAAGTTGGAAAAAGAAGATGTTAGTGTAACAAGCTCGCGATAGCCTTTTCAGGCTAAAAAGGCCGAAAACAGTCTTCGTTGCTCAGAAACATCCAAAAATGTTCGTTAGGTAAAATCATAAAGTTACAATAGTTACTCTAGTAACAGGAAATAGACATCAAGGGCTTAAAAGATGAAAATATTTGTTTTCTCTAGATGTCTATTTAGATTGTAGCACAAGTATATATTCTACAAAATACCGTGAAAAGAAAAAAATATAAAAACGCGGGGTTTTATATTTCTCGGAAAAGATTTCACGATCTTTTGAAACGCCTAAGAGCGATAGAAAAAAGGGGAGCTTAAACCTTCAAACTTGTTCTCGACACCGTATTAAGCGATCACCCTGTATTAAGCTGCTGGTTTTCATAATCCCGAAAGCGTTCATATTTGTCTCCCGAAATCAATGTAAGTAGTCTTTCTGAGCGTTTTTTTTTTTACATCGAGTGGTCAATTATGACATAAAATGGTGTTTTTTCTTTTTTAACAATACTCGTATTCTGTGGAACCTTTATTTAGCGGTCAACCTGTATTCAGTGGTCACTTCGCCATTCCCCGTTGGTGACCGCTTAGTACAAGTCCGACTGCGCCAAGGGACGTCTCCTAATCCTAACTTTTCATTAATGTTTCATTTTCAAACCAGCAACATCCTCCATACTTTTATGCGGGGATACCTGGTATGCACGGAAAGCCCGGGCTTCCCGGGGCACCTGGTCGTGACGGCCGTGATGGACGCGAAGGAGTTAAAGGTGACCGGGGCAGCCCAGGGAAGACTGGACCACAGGGTCCTCCTGGCCCCAAGGGAACTCCGGGTGTTAAAGGAGAACCTGGAGTACAGGGTCCTCCCGGCCAAAAGGGGCAGCGGGGAGAAAGTGGGGTAAACGGAATCCTTTTGACTCCCGGTATGATGTCTTTTAAGAACTGGAAAGAGTGTGCGTGGAGCAACTTGAATGACAACAAAGACCACGGCCTCATCAAGGTAAATAGTTATGACAGTAAGACGAAAGAATAGGTTAGAGTATGTTTTAAAAAATACTATACCTCTGTTAATTTTTTTGCAAATAATATTAATTTATCCCAACAAAATAGCCAAGCTTAAAAGTTCCTCATGAAATTGCACAAATTCCATGTTAAGTTATTTATTTATCTTGGGTTCATTGTGATTCTTTTCTTAATTTCTGGTCACTCTTTTACACAGGAGTGTGTGTTTAGCAAGAACTTCTCCGACACATCTCTTCTCGTTTCTTGGACTGGAACCCTTCGGGTCTATAGATGCACCACCTGCTGCAAACGCTGGTATTTCACCTTCAACGGTGCTGAATGTTCAGGTCCCCTGCCTATTGACGGCATTGTGTACCTGGGTGGTGCTGGGTCTCAAGATCCTCACCGCGTCCGCCATATTGAGGGTCACTGTAACAACATCCACAAAGGCAAGGTGCGCGTGGGGTTCTGGGTCGGTAATTGTCAGTCAAACAGCCGAAATGATTACGATGCCCACACTGGTTGGCAATCAGTGTCGCGGATCTATGTCGAAGAAATCCCGAAAGCACAAGCTTAGATTGCGAAACAGAACATTCGTTCCTATATAAACGCTTGGACTGGTAAAAGTAAAGGCTCTTTGAAATATGGGTTTGCTTTGTAACAATTATTATTCTCTGATAAAATAAAAATAAGGAAGAAAATGGAGAATGTTGTGTCTGTTTTTGTTTTGCTTCCTTTGCGTCCACTTACTTTGCTGATAATGACTCGTTGGTTGGTGTCTTCTTTGTTAATTTGAAATTTGAACCTGTCATGTTATGCTGGCTCATAGTTCTCTTTGGTTCCTCAAGATCTTTTTGTTAGTCTCGATGAGCCTTTGTGATTTCTTTCTTTCTGCGTCTGTTACATCAAGACCTTGTTAACATCATGCCTAAGATATTTGGGAACGCAATTTTACAGGTAAGACTAACCGTCCACATGCAATCCGCAGGAATGATTCACTTGAACGGCGCTTCCCGAATACAGTTATCAAGATGGATAAGTATGACTAAGCTTTAGGTTAAATCTACCCTCCACATCAATGTGGTACGAGACTGACGTCATTGCATTGGTCCTTTTATATTTTGAGGGTATCATAACATCCTTAATGCGTGAAGATGTAGCCAGGAGTGTCCACTGCCGGCGATTGGTGTGTTTTTAAACTTATACATTGGACGAATAATGGTCTTAGCCATTATTTACATCTTTCAACTGCAAGTTTGAGTTATGGCCAAACTCTTGGTTAGAAATCAATCATAAGCAACTCTTTCCCCACAAAATACGAAATTTAGGAGCGACATCTGTTTATGTTCATATCTTGCGCTGAAGATAAACATTTTTCATGTAGCCCTTGCATCAGATATATGCTTATCACATGCATTTTGAATAAATAAATTGAAACCGACGAACCACGCTTCAGCAAAAATCATACAAAAAGGAAAGAGTGATGGGCGATGAACAAATCACGCTCGGTATAGACGACTTCATCACCTTATTGTTGTACGCCCGCTGGAGAGGATACCCTTGAAATACATAAAATTCACGAATAGTAAGGTAGGTTGTTTTCTCTTTTACGTAGTAACTATCCTTTTTATGTTCAATTATAACACCTTTCTTCCTTTCCATTCTAGGGCTCCTGCTTATCCAAGAGAGAACGTTTGAGGAAAAGCTCTTAGTGATACATCGTCATTACAATAGGCTCATGCAGTTAATGATATCACGTAAAGAAAAATTATTTTTGTGTCGTTTCGAAGAAGAAGAAACTGCTCTTATTATGTCAAAAGATTTTAAAAAGTAATTGAAATAGGGGTAAATAAGACTCTCAAAGAAAATCGATCAAGATGCTAAAAAATCAAAGAGATGGTTCACTGGGCAACATAATGCTACCATTGTTCTTCCACAGGCATATAACTGGAGAGAGCCTGTATCACCAGGGCTGAGTTCAAATTTAGCCTACATAACCACCTGGTCGCCATGTTCAAAGCAACTTTGTTGCTGTTACTTCTGGCTACACTCCACGTTATCACAGAAATCACCAGCGGGAAACAAACCGACAATCAACCCATGGTAAAGTCTTAGATAACTGAATGTCTTTCAGAAAAAAATTTGTCGTGATCGAGGGTTTGAGATGGAGAGTTAAGAAATGTAATTTGGCCTTAATGTTATCCTGTGCATCTGACATCAACAGACCGTCATATCAAGAGTGCAGCAGGTGTTGAAAAAAATGAAAAAAAGTTCACGCAGTTTCCTTCTTTGCTCGAGAATGTTTCAGCTTGGAACTGATCGTCCCTCACTGATTTGATAAGCCAGATATGAAACAAAGCACTTACTAGTAAAAATGATACTGAAAGGAATCGCTACTAGTGTTTGATAAACTCGATTATTACAAGAAATTGTGGTGCGTGAAGCCTCACTTATATCCTATGATAAATTTAAAAATAATAGGTGGTTAGTCATTGAAAGATGAACCTGATATATGATCTGATCTGTGGACGATTCCTCTGTAGCCCAGTTTGTAAAATCCGCGAGATCCGAAGGTCTGAGGTTGGAATCTCGAGACTTAGTCTTGCATTACTGCTATAAACTGTTTGTATTAGTTCTCGCGGAGACCGTCTCTGTTTCCTGGCTTTCTTAACATATCAATGTTGTTTCATGTTCAAAGCAAAGTCCTTCGAGCTGTAACGCCGGAATACCAGGTATGCACGGCAAGCCTGGGTCCCCAGGGTTACCAGGTCGTGACGGCCGAGATGGACGTGACGGAGCCAAAGGGGATCGGGGAAGCTAAGGCAGAACTGGACGCCATGGACCTCCAGGTAATAAAGGAGAGCCTGGAATCCAGGGTCCTACTGGCCAAAAGGGGCAACGTGGAGAAAGTGGGATAATTCGGGCAAGTACTATGCCTTTTAAAAACTGGAAAGAATGCACCTGGAACAACTTGGACGACAGCAAGGACCAAGGGCTTATCAAGGTAAAAACTAGTCAAAGTTAGATTAGTTTTCAAAGAAACGGAAGTCCTTATATTTAATTATTCGTACCACATTATTTGGTATCAGTATCGATCATGGTCTTAAAAGATGCAAACTGCGTCAGCGGCAGAGAATTCTTATCTGCTTTCAACCACTCTTCAGTCTCTTTTGACAAATTAATTACTTCAGTTTTATTTTCTTACCTACAGGAATGCATGTTCACCAAGAATTTTTCTGACACCTACATGTCTACTGGACTGGAGTACTGATAGTAGATAGTAGATAAGCGCTGGTATTTCACTTTCAACGGTGCTGTTCCCCAGCCAATTGACGGTATTGTGTACCTAGGAGGGGCAGCTCAGAATCCTCACCGTGTCCGTCATATTGAGGGTCACTGCAACAACGTCCACAAAGGAAAGGTGCGCATGGGATTCTGGGTCGGCAATTGTCGCGGTTTGAGAAACGCTGACGCTAACACGGGTTGGAATTCAGTGTCCCGGATCTTTATCGAGGAAGTTCCTGCGCCTCAGCCTTAGGTTGATGATTCTAAGCATAGTCCAGTATAAACACGTAGAACCGAAAATTACTGATATTACGAGTTATTTAGGTGTATTTAGCAGCAGGAGTCGATCTTTTATTGATCGGCTTTCAATAACGAGGAGATATAATTGTGTCTGAGTCCGTTTTGCAATTGTTTGACTAACTGACATGGGCTCGGTCAGAATGCACATACTAATATGAGGTTGCATTCACTTTTAACCTCGAGGCATAGAAATTTTTTAGGCAGAAAATGCTTCACTAAAAAGAAACCACCAATGCTTAAATGCTTCATTCTTCAAGTTTCTATAGTAAATACACCCCAAATATATTTTTCCCCCTAAATAACTATGGTAAATAACCTCCAAAACGCTTAATGAACAGGTGTTCAATTGCTGACAACCGTTGATTAATTAACAAAACGAAAAAGCGACAAAGCTACATCTAAAGCCGAATGGATATGGATAAGGTACCATTGACTAATGTTAGCTTATTAAGTAAGAATCATGCATTTCGTAAAATTTAGCCAAATTTTTCAAGTTTGAGAGTTTTTGCCTGAGTTGATTGTATCCCGCCTTAATCTTGATGCATTCTTGGTTCATTGTCTTCTATCCGGTGTTTGTCTACTCTAGAAAAACATTATTTTAAAAACATATTAAAATAAATATTTTGCACCGATGAAATGTAGATGAATTTGATACATATGTCGCAAGTAATTCAGGTAATGGGTGTTTCACAAAAACGAGCCTGTTCTGTGGAACTTCAGCAAACATTCTTGAGAATTGAAAGAGATAATATTCGTAAGTCTCAGCGGAATATGATGGAAAAATGTAGAAGTGTAATTTCGTTCCTGTTTAGTCGTACATTTAATTTTAAATCATCTTTAAGCCTTTGATAATTTGCCTTAAATTCTATTTCAATGCAGTACGTACTCCTAACGCGATGTTTTAACATAAAGTGAGCAAAAGGGAAAAAAATACGAGAAATAGGCAAAAATACCACTCGAATTATATGTTTAACTTTAGAATAAGGGATTTATTTTGCCACTTTAATTCATTTTCTGTAGTTTTGGTTTCTTTGATTTCAAAATAATCCAATGGCGCGGCTTGATCTGAGCATGAGGCGTGCTTAAAAAAACAAACAACCAACGAAATAAAACTGATGTGCTTTTAAGCTTTTTTAACAAGTATGCAAATTCCATATCACAAAGCTTCGTCAATATTGACTGACTTTCTTCTAGTTATCAATAGACGTCATCCTGCTTGATTCGGTTTGCAATGTACGGTTGTCCTTAAAGTCAGTGAAGTGTCAGTACTGAAGCTCCATTAAGCTGACATCAAAGCAGGCCATTAAAACATAAATTATTGCATGTTTATTATTCTTCAATACGTAAACAACCGTGGGATTCAAGAACCTTTGACCAACTCATTCATCTCCTAATTCACTTATAAAAAGAGCCACGCACTTTGTGTTTTATTCTCAATGAAAACAATTCTTTGAACTGTCAATGAAAGCATCCACAAAAGTATCCTGAATTGCTAGACATGAACAACTCAGAGGTAAAATAATCGATATTCACGGTGATTTTGAACAATTGTATATAACTGACCCGAAACGTTTTGTCTTTTGCAGGAATTCCGAAAGGTTGATGTAGCTTAATTAAAAAAATTTCTAGTCCTCTCATTTCGTCGGATGCTTAGCTATAGATATCATTTCTCTCGAGCAGGATGAGCCCTATAGCCTCTGGAATGTCATTAGCTGTATAACCAGCTGAGTAAATAGGATGGCAAGCAGTTCATATTACTTTAGGTCAACCAAATCAAGACAGTCTCGCTGTTAAATCAAGACAGTTTTCTTTTGTTGCCGGATCCAAAATCAGTGTGCGGATTATACCCTACTGCTTCGTGTTAACCACCATACCAATTTCATGTTCTTCCTGTCAATGCGGACGAAACCTCTTTTTCAGCTTCGAACGTCATTATAAATTATATTTGTTTAGTCATGCAGATAATACTTTAAATGAGTTGGTTACAGACAAAGCAATCGACATAGACATTGTCTCTAATATAATACGCTTATTAAACAAGCATGCTCTAAGAGTAAACAATGATGAACCGGTCCGAACACGAACCAGAATCAACATAAATAAAGTAAAGTTTTTCCATATTCCATAATAGTGACTCCTTAGAGAGCTACGGTTATCGAAGAAAAGAGAAAAAGTTCAAGCTAAAGGTACAAAGTAAGATTTTGTCTTCCTTAGTTCTTTTTTTTTTTCCCATTGGGTTTTCAAGGTGTAACGTTTTTTAAGATCAAAGCTCCCTGTGCGCTATCAACAAATTTTTTCATCGAGACCGTTTTCGGCTTTTTAAATGCTGGCACTCTTCTGCATTCATTTTTTGGGGGTTTTACGAAAAATTCATAGCTTGGAGAGCTATTTTGTGAAGTTGGATAAATGAGAGTGAAAGAGAACTCAAAAACAAAAAAAGAGGTATTAAGGCGACTGAGCAAGATTAATATTTTTTCGAAGTAG